CCTCTTCCCCTTTGTTCTTTCTTGAGGTTGGGGTGGGGGGTTTTCAGCTTTGGTATTTTTATCTTTTTATGTTGGTGATTAATAGAAATTGTTCAAGTTGACGTTCACAATTTAACATAATGCAGCCAAGTAATGGGTATGCTCGGCTTCTTTTAAGAGATCCCAAGGCATAGTATCCAGTCATGTGATTTCTGTACTGGACCTAAGTTGGGTTCAAGAATCTGACAAAACTTGATCATTTTTAAATGTTTTTGGGATGAAATGAGGGTGGGCCTCGGTGCAATGCTTGGGTTGCTCCAGTGCGAACTGGATGACCAGGGTTCTTCAAATCTTGGAAACAGCCTCTTTGCATTGGCTATGTACATCTGTCCCTCCCCAGACATCCGCATTGGCGGGAACTATGTCCGGACTGCCCTTTGGGATGAATATTTTGGCGTTTTTTTTTTCAGATAAATTTAGGAGCCTTGAAAACATATATCTCTCCGCATCCCCCACATTGGGGAACCTCGTGCACTTGACTGCCCTTTTGGGATGAATATTTTGGCATTTCTCCCCATGGAGTCTTGGAGACCTCTCTCTCTCTATTCCCCCCCCCAAGTACCCTTCTGATTGGTGCTAGTTGTATGATCATGAAGTCTACCATCTTATGTAGATGCTTCTTTTGCTCTCTTTGTTGAATTTGGATTAGCTGAATGCGTTGGTTCTATAGCCTGCCACACAGCCATCACATTCAGCTAATCCGATATCTTTGTGAATATTTCTTCCAATTTCTTGGTGTGTTTGCAACGGTTTAAAATGCAAGTTGTTGCGCTTAACACTTTCTAATTCTGCTTTTGGTGATGGTTCTTGTGTCTTCTGGTCAGACGCCAAAAGTTTATCCATATGACAACCTGCGAGTGGAGCTCGGAGGAGAACCATAGACAGATGAATCTCCAAAGTCTTGTCTAGATCATCAGGGATTCAGGGCCCCTCATGCCTTCTTGTTTCTTTGTTTCAACAATATGGAGCACAGGGAGCCAATGAAAATAATGCATTTGTTGCTGAATTCGATATGTTCAATTTTTAGTCATTGACGAAACACATTACTGGGGCGTAGGAATAAATTTTTATATTCTTGTGGGCCGCATTGCATTATTTTCGCTTCGGCACAAAAAAAAAAAAATGTAAAACACTTTATGAACATGCCATAGGAAACACCATTACAGCTATTGTACCCCTTGCTGAACTGAACGAGTTAAAAAAAAAAAGATTTCTCATCCAGCTGGCTGGGTAGCGTAATTTAAGGGTATCGGGGCCGGGCTTTGCACCTACGGTAAAGACTATATAACCCTAGGCCTGGCCAGGCCCAGACCACGGGCCTAAAATATAAGTGAGCTGGGCTGTTGGGCCTATGATTTTAAATTACTAAATATAAAACGTAATATTTGGTTTTGTAAGGCTGGGCTGGGCATATGATATGTTGGGCCCTGCCGCTCAGTTCGGCTCTCAAATTTCCGGGCCCGATGTGAGCAGTACATAACTATGGTTTTTGATCCGGGTAGTATTTGGCTTTTATTAGCTCTGGCCTATAATGAATTTAATTTGTCAATTAACGGAGATGCAACGGGATCTCTTACAGGCAAAAACACTACACATGCTCTGATAGTACGGGCTTCCAGTTGCACATTGAAAATATCTCTAATTTGGACTTAGTGTCATTTTGGTCCCTGAACTTTAGACAATTCAGCATCCGAACTTTTAAAACGTATTAATCTAATACCTGTAGTTAATCAGTTGTTAATCAACTGTTAAATGATGTTTGAAAAAGACACAAATGCCCTCCAAGGGTCATCTAATTTTCTTTATCAATCATCCAAATGTTGACAAAAAATTAGTAGTTCCAAATCCTTGCCTCTTTTATTTAAGTTGGGTTCATGTCTTGGTGGCCATTCTGGTGACCCCAACTTTATTGAATAGAAGAAGCAAGGATTTTGGATTGTTAAATTTTTGTCAAGGTTTGGATGATTGATAAAGAAAATTAGATGACCCTTGGAGGGCATTTATGTCTTTTTCAAACGTTAACGGCTGGTTAATGGTAAGTATTGGATTAACACGTTTTGAAAGTTCAAATACTGAATTGTCGCATTTTAAAGTTTGGAGACCAAAATGTCACTAGATACAAAGTACAGGTACTAATCGGAAATTTTTCCTAAATTTAACATACATGTACGAGAGATATCCCCATTGTACAGATGGATGCAATGTTTGTGAAGTTTCTGTTTGCAGATCTGTGCTCATCAGAGATAGCTTTCACATTGAAGGTTGAGAACATGGTTGGGCCCATCTGGTCATTGTGTTAGAATCGCAGTCCATAAATTCAGATATTTCAAAATTTCAACACGGTTTAGACAACTATGATCTTTTCTGCATAGGTCAGCTTGATCAACCTTGGGGTAGCATTTCTGGTTCAAGATGAACCTCACTTGTTCTAGCTGATCCAGTTTTCATGCGTCTGAAGTCTTAAGTCCCAAGCTAGAGGGAGGTTTGATTTAATTAAGGGGTGTTTTACATAGGGGTGCAACTTGGGCGGGCCTAACCTGAGCCCGAACCGATTCAGCCTGAATTTTTATACGGGCTGGACTCAGGCCCAAAAAATTGGGGTATTTTTTTTTTAAATTTTTGGGTGGGTTTATTAATCAACCTAAGCTCGACGTAAGCCTGAGCTCAACCTGAGTGCATTAAATTATAGTGCAGGCTGAGCTTGGATTGGAAAGAAAGATTGGACTTGACCTCAGGCTTGGGCCTTAAGCCCAGATTTTAGGGTTGGGTCTGGGTTGACCATAAACTCAGCCCAACCCACCTGACTTGCACCCCTAGTTTGCAAGACTCTAGATCTGCTCACAAATGGGCTATGCGTCTAATCATTTGTGAACGTACCAGTTTTTCATACACATAGCACTCACACCTAAACGTAAAGAACGTTGATGTATTCACTCGTGATTGGATAAGTAGCCTGTTATAGCAGCTTGTTGAACACGTCAGTTTTTCGTAGGCATAGCACCCACACCCAAATGTAAAGAACATTGATGTGTTCAGTTGTAATTGGTTAAGTAGCCTGTTATACGCATCTTGTAGAACAGCAGATCCCAACACATCTTACAACATGATAAATGTTTTTGTTTTCATTTGTTTATGGAATTGCCATTATCATCTAATAAATAGAAAGATGTTCTTCACCATTGTTTTTGTTCCGAAAAGTAAAAACAAGTTGGTACTGTCTCTAAAAACAATATGTGTTTTTGAAACCATTCAAATGATGGTTTTGAAAATGAAAATAATTTTTGCAGTGCAGATATTTTATGATTTATGGAACATGATATTAAATAACTAAATGAAAACGTGTTCTTTAAACAAAAGACATTTTAGGATTCTGTATTGAAAATAAAAAATACATATACAACTAAGGATGTGGGTTTTATGTTTTTATTTAAGACCCAATTTGTTTTCAAATTACATGGTTTTAATTTGTTTTTGGAATTCACAACAAGAAAAGCAATTCACATTGAAGAACACCCTGAGCTGTAGCTGATTTCCAATCTCTCTGGGCCGTTTAGAAGACTGGAAGAAAGAAAAACTAACATTTTAGGCTATGTTTGGTTTTAAGGAAAAGGTAGGGAAACCTATACAAGATTTGTAAAGGTTTCTCTACCTTTTCCTTCTTTTCTCTACTTTTTCCTTCAAACCAAATACACCCTTCGGGTTTTTGTTCTGGCATTTATTGCATACCACTAGCGTTACTCAAACAAATGTGGAATGAAATGACTTCTATTGGGGCATGGCTCATACAATGATGGCCATGTATCTGCAAATTTCAATATTATTTTTTATGTATCTCTGCCTCTAGCTTATTCCTCCATTTTTTAATAGGCTAGAAAGAATTACAGACTGGGAGGAGAGAACAAATCCCACACATCACATGTCAAGGAATTGAGATCTATTCCTTACACGGACCTATAGCCACATCCCACCGTGTATTGAGAACATCTCCCATAAATAATAACATACGTGAACATCCCATCACAGGAGGAGTAGATATAACCAAAACTGTTACACTTAAATTATACTAGAAGAAGACATATGACAAAAGTGACTTCTATTAGTCAATCAGTCAGCGGCATGGTTAATTTCTTGCCATGACACACCTCGTAGCATTTCTCTAAGAACACTTTAATGTTCCATCGAGGGTCCAATTTAGCTTGAAAAAGGCTACCAGAATCCCCTTCACTAATACGCTGCGAAGCTGTGAGGTCATCCGCTTTGGACTCCATCTTCTACAGCCCTGTTCCAGTAATGACAGTATTAGCCTAATAGCTAGTATCCTCACCAATAGGCCCGACAGGAGACCGTGATGTGAGGTCCCTTCCCAGAATCCAAGCCACGAAACTCTGGGATTTGCAGTTTCGCCAATCCCATGGCCCATGGCCTATGGGCCATGCATGGTACATCCTTTTTTGAAAGGCCTAAGCCACATAAATGGTTTAATGGCAGCCAGATTATTGTACCGGTGTGTACAAGTGTTTTCTCTAAGATAATAACCGCACGCACTATCTACAACTGGCCTAGCTAGGTAATTTAAAGAGAATATAATTGCCTGGGATCAAGTTAGCAACCAAACATTAAAACAGCCACAGTTCATATCATAGCTTTGAACCTAGCTTGATGGACTGGTTTCAACTTTCAAGTACACCAGCGACCCAACTGTCAATTTGTAACTCATGGGCTTTGTTATACCCTCTGATCAATTAATTTTTATTGGCGTGAGCTGTCAAATTAGGAGGATATTCAGGGACAATTCCCATCCGGGGGTTAGTGATCACTCAAGCCAAGGGATAATCCTTATCATAGGAGTAGTTTGTATAGGACAAGGAAAGATGGAATAAGGCCTATATATATACTCATTCCCTATAAAAAAAAATATACAAGGAAAAGGAAGAATAATATCTTTCATTCTACACGAGTTGTCATGGTATCAGAGCGGTGATCCTACAGTGAGGGCATTCGAACTTGGCGTGGCCACCCGTGCTGAGCCTAGAATGGTCGGCGAGCCCAACCTTGCCTCCTCCTCTGTTAGTGGTAGCAGCATCGATCTTGGCGGCGATCTCCTTGGCCGTGTGCTTCTTAGGCTTTGTCTTTCCAGTCATGGTTGGTTCTCTCTCCGCCTGATGATCAACGACAAATCACCCGAAAACCAGGAGAGATAAATAGAAGTTTGGAGCAGCAATAAAGTCGTCTATCTCCGACGTCGGAAGTCGGATGCAGCCGGATAGGCGATCACCTCTTCCTCTGCCCTGCATATGCAGTTGGATAGGCGATCTCCAAAGGACCTTTGCATGTTCAATCTGCTGGGCAAATTTATCGGTTCTATGGAGCATCTACGGAGATCATCATCAAGATCACGTTCTTGAGGTAATTCGTCACCGTACTAGAATATTACTATTTTTAATTAGAGCTTTGGTTTTTGATCTCGGAGATCTACGAAGTGCAAACGGTTTTTTCGACCAACAAGAGGAACTCGGATTCCTTCGTTGAGATTGCGAACTCGATGTTTTGATTCTCGAGATTTTTCACCTCTTTCTCCGCCCTGCGGCGCTAAGCTCTTCTACTCCGAGACGCCATTAGCAAGGACACCCTTCGGTAAATACAACCATGTCTGATTCAGAAACCTCAGATCCGGTTGAGGAACAACAATCCAATCCTACCCTCACCGAAGTGACTACCAGAATGGCTGAAATCTTGCACAGACCAACCTCGACTACAGAGACTCCCGCCGCACAGATTGGCATCAAGTTGGACGGCACCAACTATGCTCTTTGGTCCCAAGTTGTTGAGATGTATATCTCTGGCAAAGACAAATTGGGATATATTAATGGCGAGCTTCCCCAACCTCCTCAGACTGACCCAACCTTTCGAAGATGGCGCATGAACAACGCTATTGTCAAGGGCTGGTTAATCAACTCCATGGACATATCCTTGATCGGTAACTTTATTCGATTCCCTACGACAAAGATGGTGTGGGATTCTGTTGCTACTACTTACTTTGATGGCAGTGATACCTCGCAAGTATATGATCTCCGACGCCGTGTGACCCGCTTGCGCTAGTTTGGAGGATCTCTTGAAAAATATTATAATGATCTCCAAGGTTTGTGGCGTGAAATTGATTTTTGTCGTCCAAATCCAATGAAGTGTGCTGTAGATATTCAACGGTATAATAATCTTCTTCAAGAAGAGAGAGTGTATATTTTCTTAGATGGCCTTGATGACAAACTTGACAAGATTCGAGCAGATGTACTCCAAATGCATCCGCTTCCCACTATTGAACAGGCATACGCACATGTTCGTAGGGAAGCTATCCGGCAAAAGGTCATGATCACCGGTAACAATATTGAAACTCTAGGAGCTGTTTTGGCCTCCAAAAGTGTTAAAATGGGACAACCTACTTCATCCTCAACAGGCTCTCTTTCTTTGAGCAACGAAAAATCTGGTATGTCCTCTAAATCTCAAACATCTTCTAATAAAACTAAGTGTTCTCATTGTGGTAACTCGAAGCATACCTGGGAGAATTGCTTCAAACTACATGGCTACCCCGACTGGTGGCATGAACTCCAAGCCCGAAAGCGTCAAGACAAGGCTAAAACTGGTGGTAAGGCTGTGATGGTTACAGTAGAACCCCAACTGTCATTCACACCACCTGTTGAACTACCACAAGGAGACGTACACCTCTCATATTCAGGTAACAATCTCCCCCACAACACTGTTAATAGCAATGCATGGATACTTGACTCGGGGGCTACCGACCACATGACTTATGATGCCACTGATTTTTCAAAACTTTCACCACCAAGACGGACTACAATTGCTAATACCAATGGGGCTATATCTCCAGTCACAGGAGCAGGCACTGTGACCTTGTCACCTACAATATCCTTAAAGAACACTTTGCTTGTTCCCTCTCTCTCCCATAAATTACTATCTGTTAGCCAAATTTCCACTGATCTAAATTGTGCTGTGCTCATCTATTCTACTTTTTGTCTTCTTCAGGATATTCTCACCGAGGAGATAATTGGGCGTGGTACTAGGAGGGGGGGGGGGGGCTCTACTACATGGATGATCTTAGTATGGGTCGAGCACATCATGCTTATCATCAAAGTAATACCAAAGAACAACAGATTTGGATTTCGCATCGCCGGTTGGGACATCCATCATTTGGTTACATGAAACATTTATTTCCGGATTTATTTACAGATATACAACCTTGTGATTTTCAATGTAACAATTGCATCTTAGCTAAGAGTCATAGAACTATCTATCCTTTAAGTATGAATAAAAGTAAAGTTCCATTTGCTTTAATTCACTCTGATGTGTGGGGGCCATCCCCAGTAACTACAGTGTCTAGGTTTCGCTGGTTTGTAATCTTTGTTGATGACTGCACTCGCATGACATGGTTATATCTGCTGAAACATAAAGATGAAGTGTTGACTGTATTTCAATCTTTCCATGTGATGGTGAAGACTCAGTTCTCAGCTAAAATTCAGGTTCTCAGGTCTGATAATGGCGGGGAATACATAAATCAACGGTTCCAAGATTATTTCCGGATTCATGGACTACTTCATGAGACTTATTGTCCACAGACTTCACAGCAAAATGTCATTGCTAAGAGAAAGAATCGACACATACTCGAAACTGCTCGTGCTTTGCTACTTGGAGCACATGTACCTAACCGACATTGGGCTGATGCTGTTGCTACTGCTGTGCACCTCCTTAATCGAATGCCATCATGAGTCTTACATTTTAAGACACCATTACAAGCTCTTTCATCACATGTCTCTCTGCCATCCGTGTTGATGATTCCACATCGAGTTTTTGGCTGTGTGGAATTCGTACATCTGCATAAAATCAACGCACAAAACTTGATCCACAAGCAACTCGGTGCTTATTTTTGGGGTATGCGTTACATCAGAAAGGATACTGATGTTATGATCTAGCCACCCAACGGACCTATGTTACCATGGATGTTACTTTTTTGGAATCTGAAACATTATACTCTCCTTCCGAAACCAATTCTTCTCTCTAGGGGAGAGTTAGAGTGCATAACATAACTTGTTTCTACCTGATTGGCTGAATAATAGTGATTCAACAGAAAAGGTGGTCAACGAAGAACCTTCTACAACTGGTGTAGTTTCAAGAGAGAGATCTACAACACCAGAAACATCTACATCGCCATCGCCACTTTTAGCAGAAGAAATAACGACCCCAACCTCCACAATACCCGAAGACCCATCTCCTGAGAATATTACTAAAGCGAATGATCCTAAGGTAAACTCTCCTACTACACCTTAAAGCTCTAACGATATGAATACTTCTGCTGGTTACACTTTACCTTTTAGGCATAATCGTGGCAAACCGCCAAATAGATATTCTCCAGATATTGAGGACCGGAGGTCAAAGTATCCAATTGTCAATTATGTATCAACAAAGAGACTCTCCAAACCTCTCAAAACATTTGTGCAAGAATTGTCCTCACATCATATTCCCACCAGTGTTCAAGAAACTCTGACAAACCCGAAATGGACATAGGCCATACAGGAAGAAATGGAGGCACTATTGAAGAATAAAATATGGACTCTTGTTTCCTTGCCTAAGGGAAAAAACTTGTAGGGTGTAAGTGGGTATTTTCCATTAAATACAAAGCGGATGAGTCGATCGAGAGATACAAAGCGAGGCTGGTCGCGAGAGGTTATACTTAGACACATGGCGTAGATTATCAAGAGACCTTCTTACTAGTGGCCAAATTGAATACGGTTAGAGTTTTATTATCTCTTGCAGCAAACCTTGATTGGTCGCTACACCAGTTCGACGTAAAGAACGCTTTCCTCCATGGTGACCTTGAAGAGGAGGTGTACATGGACATCCCACCTGGTTATACAACAAATTCCAAGACCAAAGTTGTGTGTAAACTACAACAAGCACTATATGGACTGAAACAATCACCGTAGGCATGGTTTGAGCGGTTTAGTCTTGCGATGAAGAAATATGGCTTTCAACAAAGCAATTCATACTATACAATATTTCTAAAGCACCAACGAGAGAAGGTAACGACTTTAATAATATATGTAGATGACATGATTATCATCGGAAATGATTCAAGAGAAATAGCAACACTTCAAAAGCAATTGGCAACTGAGTTCGAAATGAAGAACTTAGGAGGGCTCAAATATTTTCTAAGAATTGAAGTTGCTAGATCAAGGAGAGGTATATTTCTGTCTCAACGGAAACACACTTTAGATTTACTATCCGAAGTAGGACAGTTGGAGTGCAAGCCGGCAGACACACCAATTATTCAAAACCATAAACTTGGAGAATACCCAGACCAAGTACCTACCAATAAGGAGAGATATCAAAGGCTGGTTGGTAAACTTATTTACCTCTCACATACTTGTCCAAACATCACTTACGCTGTCAGCGTGGTAAGTCAATTCATGCATTGTCCAAGCGAAAATCACATGAATGCTGTAATGCGAATTCTTCGATACTTGAAGTCCTCACCCGGAAGAGGACTTATGTTCTCAAAGAATAATCATCTAAAGATTGAAGGCTATACAGACGCAGATTGGGCTGGAAATATCTCGAATAGAAGATTCACCTTGGGGTACTTTACATTTTTCGGTGGAAATCTTGTCACATGGAGGAGTAAAAAACAAAAGATGGTGGCCTTATCAAGCGCTAAAGCTGAGTTTCGGGGAATGGCTAAAGGACTTTGCGAGCTTCTTTGGCTTAAAAGATTAATGACTGAAATCGGTTTCTCCCCAACCTCTGAGATTGACCTATTCTGTGATAACAAGGCTGCCATAGATATCTCTCAGAATCCTGTTCAACATGATCGAACAAAGCACGTGGAGGTGGACCGACATTTCATCAAACAAAATATCGAAGACAAAATCATCCGATTTCCTTTTGTCAAGTCTGAAGACCAGCTGGCGGATATACTTACAAAAGTTGTATCCAGTAAAATCTTCTATAGCTCACTTGGCAAGTTGGGCATCCAAGATTTGTACGCACCAACGTGAGGGAGAGTATTGGCGTGAGCTGTCAAACTAGGAGGATATTCCTTAATTCAAGGGACAATTCCTATCCGGAGTTAGTGATCACTCAAGCCAAGGGATAATCCTTATCATAAGAGTAGTTTGTATAGGACAACGAAAGATGGAATAAGGCTTTTATATATATATAGATATATACTCATTCCCTCTAAAAGAAAATATACAAGAAAAAGGAAAATCCCAAGTATAAAAGGAAAATCCCAAGGAAAATATATACTCTTTCCTTCTACACGAGTTGTCAATCTTTTCAAGTCTTGAAAGAACCTACAAGTATAAAAGAGCCTGGTTTACTTAATTGAGTCCTTGGGAACGTAGATTATATTTGAGTCTAAAGTCTAAACGTCCCGTCTTTCGCGGCCCAAATAAAGAATGGATGGGGACAAACTAGACTTCAAGTAGAAGGGAAAATCCCAACAATGGGTGGCTAAACTCAACCAGTTGTAATTTGTTTCTTTAATGATCAACACAATCAAGAGGAAATCAGGGTCAAGGCGGCAAAGGTGGACTCCAGTGGGACTGGTCTAGATCAGCTCACATTGCAGGCGGACTCTCTCTCTCTTTCTCTCTCTCTTACACAATGCAAAAGCAGTCACAGTTTGAAAGATACACAAATCATGGGCAAGAGGTATTATGGAAGTTCAAATGGGGCACCCTTAAATTGTGAAATAAAACTGCAGTGGTCTCTGCAAGAGGTATTCCATACTCCATATCCTTGAAGGAATAGGCCAGCGAATTAGGGGTGTCTTCTTTCAAGCGTGAAGTCATTTTCTTGGGTCAACATAGCGCCCAAACTCAAGTTATTGTTTATCTCTTTCCCAACTCTAGTGAGTAGTGACTCATACTCAGAATCGTTATTCAAAGTAGCAACCAAACAAGAAGATACAAAGTTCTAAGGCCCAGACTCCATATCACGGGTTCTTGTCCAGACGCGAGGCACCTTAAAACTACTCCCTCGATGGTGATAAGCTTGTCAACTTGGCATGCATTACTCTATTATATTGCCACATGGACAATCCATCAACTTGGCATATGGACCCGCTGTTGCCGCGTGGACCCCTTACAACCAAAATCGCGTCGATAATTAGAGAACTTATACCAACTATAATCTTTATACTATGATATATATTCTTGATTAATTAGCAATTTATTCTTTGTTGATGAAGACGTACTGGACCTAACCAGATGTCATGATCCTTTTGTTTCTCATCTCTTACTCTTGGAAACTACATCCATTGATTAATTAAACCCATCAATTTGTTCTATTTTATTGTAATTAGATTGTGACTTATTTAATTTGTTTTAAGATATGATTCTCTCAAATAGGGAAGCTTCACCTACTGTCTGTAGCGTGTAGGGCTTGAGTACAAAAAGGGACAGGAACCATGAAAGAGATCCGACCCCCTTCTCTCTTGAAAATAAAGAAATTAATGCAGATTTTGTTGATCAAGCTCTATTATTATTTTTATTCTAAATTCACAATTTGTCTATTCCAAAGAATGTGATCCCTGATGGTTAATTACTACGATCTAGTGGGCTAATAAAAACCCTAGAAGATCCTCTTCGTGGGACCCATATGGCGGTGGGCCCTCCCTTACATGTGTACAACTGTAATTCTTACGTAGAATATACAATTTGATTGTATTTTATTATATTATTTTTTTTATTCCTTAAGAAAAGGGTCCCTACTCCCTCGCATGAAGGGCGGTGCTTAATTGATAGCAATACTCAAATGGTTTTGTTAACTTTGCCTATTGAGTTTAGTAGATAAGATACCAACCTTTTGTATTCACTTTACTTTCATGAGTTCTCTCTACATGGAAGGATCGAAATTGAATTCTTTTGAAGCACTTTCCAAATGAAGTTGGCATTGACAAGAGAATTGAAGCCATTAAATTGAGTACCCACTTTCTCTGGGAGCTCCTCTGAAAGGAGCTCAATTGTGAATATTAGCTAATATCTAGGCAGAAAGGAAAAAAAAAACTCTTAAGCACAACCTTACGTCTCTCACAGCTGAAGTCGGACTCAAATTCGAGAACAAACAACAAAGCCAATACTGCTGTAAAATTTGGTTTAAAGAAAGTTTGTATTACAAAGCCAACTATAGTCTGCCTAGTAGCAAGAAATAAGATACCTAGGACCCCAAATTGTCTATAACATGGCTGTGCATATCACATGTATATTTTAATTATATTTCTCACTCTTTTTTCAGAAACAAAATATATTTTTGACTAAAACTAAAACTTATTAGAAGGTAAATTTTTCAAAATATGAGGAAATGGGTATTTTCCATAAAAAATAATTAGTTGTGAGTAATATAGATTTTCAAAAATACAGAACAAAAGGTTTGCTAGCAAACGCTTTATTTACTTTTAATATATATATATATATATATATATATAAGTAAATTTTAATAAATTATATTTGCATGTTCCTAACTTTTTATTCCATATTTTTAAATAATCTATTAAATAGGTCTACATTTATAGCTGATCTTTATTTCACCATAATTAAGGACCGGGGCATATATTCGAATTTTTCTTTTTTTGCCTTTTTCATCAATTTTGTTTTCTTTTTTTTTTCTCAAATTAGAGTTTCAATGGGAATAACCAAGCGCCAACGGAACTCTACTCGCAAAAGTCAAAACAGTATGTGGCTCAACGGAGGCAGTGTAACCAATAGGAGAAGAGCACGTCAGCCCCATATCTACCACTTTCCATATTTCAAAACGTCATACAAGTATCTAGATATTGAGTGGAAGTGATTTGGAAACACATTGAAAACAATAACGCCAATACTGTCTAAAACTAGATAAGAAAATCGTCAGGGTTGAGTGTATTTTGAAGCAGAGAGGCAGCTGATAAATGCCAACCCATCAGGCATCAGCTCATCAGAAAGCTCCAAAGTTTAGAACCCTAATGGCTATCATCCAAGTTGCACCGCCAGCTATGGCCTGATACTAGCTAATGTGGCCACATGGGCCGCCTCTGATTTTTTAATCCCAAACTGATCACAGTCTTCACCTATAAAACCCTAACCCACTACCCCATTCCCCATCATCCCATCCTAGAATTCCCGGCCGGCCTTTAAACACAAACCCAATTAAGTGATACTAGCTAGCTTCAGATATATCGATGGCTTCCAAGAGTAGTGCGTCCCTTGCTCTTCTCCTTGCCTTGAACCTTCTCTTCTTCACTCTTGTGAGCTCTACCTATGTCCCTTGCCCACCACCACCAAAGAAGCCAACCCCAAAACCCCCAAAGCCTCCTGTATACCCTAGTTGCCCAAGGGACACACTGAAGCTAGGCGTTTGTGCCAACCTGTTGAACGATTTGGTGCACCTCGTCATCGGAACCCCACCAAAGTACCCTTGCTGCACTCTCATTGAGGGTCTTGCTGATCTCGAAGCCGCTGTTTGCCTCTGCACTGCCATCAAGGCCAACATCTTGGGCATTCACTTGAATGTCCCCGTCTCCTTGAGCTTGCTGTTGAATTACTGTGGCAAGAAGGTCCCCTCTGGCTTCCAATGCGCCTAATTAAGCCCCCGAAGCGCTACGCTTCTTCTTATTATTTCTCTCTTCATGCATTATTGGTGTGTTGCTTTCTGCTCGATCTGGTTTCAGGAATTCTCCTCCTTTGATTGTGTGTCTTTAAAAGTTTTCCTCGTAATTGTACTCTTGATTCGTTTGGTGGATGGAACTTGGAAGGCTCCTCACCTTCCTGATCTACATCTTCTGTAGCCTTCTTAATTTCTCCCAATTCTAATAATGACAATGGACGGGTCTGTTTTTTGTTTTGTAGCTGTATAAATAAGAAGTCTTATTTCAGAATGAAATTATTGGATTTTATTATTGCACAATATCTATGGAAGCGACGTTACTGCTAATTAACCTACATGGGTTTGGTCTAGCCATTCATTAGCGTCGCATGCATGGAGCAGTAAGCTCTGTGTTCCAATCAACAAGATATAGAAAATTTCATTTTCGGAGGGAGGTCGATATGAATTATGAAGTGATACCATGCTCCAAACTCCAATCATTATGAATGTTCATGGCTGATCGATCCATGAGGCAGCTTTACTGAACAAACTGATCAGTGAGAGTAGGGATCGAGGTAGTGGGTAATGGTTCAAATAACAGATGGAGACGCATTGTGCTGTCGGTGGCAACTTAATTCTTGCAGTGTGTGAAATGGGGTTGGGTTTCATTGTTTCAACTTTCAAAAGATACAGATGTCGTCGACTGGGCTAACATGAAGCATGGTTTTATTCCTCTGATAATTAATTATAAGAGGAATGTCACACTGATCGAGCGCCTTTGTGTCCTTGTCAGTTGTCAACACCAAGTTCAAATCGTCTACAGTTCTGTACAGATTACGGGGGGCCTACATATATCCTGATTGGCACAGTACCTTCCGATTCCCGTAGAGAGATGGAGAATTTTGAAGTTTCAGTCACCATAGTCAAACTTGGGTGCTCATTCATTGACATTCTCGTTCCTCTGTACTTGAGAAACTTGTCTACTTAGGATGAAGATATACAGAAGGACCAGCGGAAGCTTCTTAACGATCAGATTCTGCACATTAAATGTAGTACGAATTGAATTGAAAGGGAAGATGGAGTAGTTATCTACTTATCTTAAATATTAAGATGTGTTCTATTTCTCTAGTACAGAAGGAGGGGGTCACCATGAACAAATCTTGTCTTTATCTCTTTCATTGGAAAAATACCTATATATCTCAAATATCAAATAAAGCTATCTTTAATTAGAGGATTGTGACCATAGGTCAACTCGAGAGATTATTATATATTATTATGTATTATTCAAATTTAACTTGCAATTTGGGAAAAGGAGAAAGAAATAAGCGCCAAGCTAGAGACAAGAGACAAGTCATATTGCCTAGCTAATTCACGAGGTACAATTTATAGAGATTCTGTATGATAAACAAGAACAAAATAATTTTAACTTCATCCTTTGTAAAGGGTTAACTGCAAGGGAGTTCGGATATGCTCCTCTCATACCGACCTCATAGCATGTTTTAACCGCATATAGGGAACATTTCCGATATTTATATATTATTATTCATTGGAGATATTTTCAAATACAGGGTGGGATGTGGATGTGAGGTCTGTGTGAGGAGTGTTATGTGAGGGGCATATCCCAATTCAGTGTAAGGGTAGAGGTGTAAAACAGGTTATGCTGGACTGTGCAAAGTACAGGCTGTCTTAGGCCGTGTTGTCCTCTCTAGGGATAGTTTGGGGGGTCGGCCTGGCATGTTCCATGGTCTAAGCCTGTGCGGGCTCGTGCATGGGCCTAGGCCAGGTGGGTTGTAGGGCGTGCCATGGGCTTGGGCCACAGATCGGGCCTTGGGCATGGGCCCAAATAGGCCAGACTGTTTTTTTTTTTGGTTTTTTGACATTTTTTATTTATTTTTATTTCTTTGTTAAGTAAAACTAAAATATTTAACTTTCTTTAGGAGCTATTTGAAAAAATAAGAAATCTAACAAAAAAAATGAAAAAAAATACTTAACCAAATAAGAAGTCAAAGGGACAAAGACTCGAAGTGAACAACAATTTGGAAGAAAAATAGGAATTTTATTTCATTTAAATTTGATTGATACAAAGCATACAATGGTTGGATGAATGAAATATGAAAATTGGAATAAATTAATAAAGTATAAAAATACAATATAGTTATAAATTGAAAATACAAAATTACGTTATTAAAAAATATCAAATAAATTAAATAAAATTGAAACAAAATTTACAATAATTTGAAAAAATTCTATACAACTATTGAGTATACAAAAAAATATTGACTTCATCATTTTCTTCTATTGTTCGACTTTGGTCATTGTAGGAATTGCAAAAGGTGGAGGATAGGGCTATTTATAAGAATTGTTGAATTGGTGTGATGAGAATGGTGGAGGATAGGGCTATTTATAGGAATTGAAAATAATTCAATTGTCCAAAATACCCTAAAAACTAGTTATTTTTTAGTTGTTGGGAGGGGTATTTTGGTCATTGTAAAGTTATTTATCACTTTACCCAAAATGCCCCCAAACTAGCTATTATATAGTTGTTCAGGGGCATTTGTGTCATTCTTTCTCACAAAAAAACCAAAATACATAAATACCCCTATATGGCCATTTATAACTATTGGGGGTATTTTTGTAAAAAAAACCCCTATATATCTACGAGTCCGCAGGCCGTGCCAGCATGTGGTCTGCGGTAGGGCTGTTCATTACAATACCCAAACCGATCAAACCGATCAACTTGGACCGATCCAACCCGAGTTGGCCGGTTTTTCTTAACATCGGTCGGTTTTGGGTTACGAAAAAACATAAACCGATGGTTCGGTTTGGTTTCGGTTTTCATGTGTGATGTGTGAAAACCGAAACCGAACCGACCCAAACCGACTTAGATATATTATATATATTTGATATATTTCAGTTTTACTATATATATATATTTCAGATATATATTTGTGGAAATATATATATATATATATATATATATATATATTAGCTTTATTTCAGAAATATACATATTATATTTAAAATTTCAGATATATAAAATATCAGTTTTAATCCATCAAATCATTTTTAATTTCCAGGCATCCAGCCTTTGCTTTCTTAGACTTGATTCCTTTACCGTTTACACCGAGAGAATCATTCACAAAACCGACCCAAACCGATTCAAACCGACCAGGTCGGTTTTACTTAGTATTGGGTCAGTTTCGGTTTCATTTCTAGAACCGACCGGGTCGAGTCGGTTGGAAAAACGCCAGTAAACCGACCCAACCCGACCCGTGAACAGCCCTAGTCTGCGGGTGGCATGGCACGTGGACCTGGAACCCCTGGCCTAGCATGGCCCGTGGACTTGGAACCCCAGTCATGCTATGTTGTGCCGGTCCGTAGATTTGAAACCTCAAGCCCAACATGGCCCAATAATCGTACTGGATTGGGCACGACCTGCATGCCGTCATGCCATGTTGAACTTGGCTGTAAACGGCACGACCTGATTTACACATACATCTATGAAAGGGACCAAAAAATAATAATAAATGCAAAGGGGAATGCTGACTGAAGGTGTATTAATCAGTGCAATGGAAACATGTATGAAGCATTAGTATGCCTAATTAAGGAGAAGAACCATTATATTCCAATCAGTGCAACCAATGCCTAATTAAGCATTGGTTGCATTTGCCATTCTTTATTTTAAGGATTTATCTCCTTTTTGCATTTAAAATCTCATTATTCATAGGAATATCTTTAATCGTAAAAAAGAGATAAATCCTTAAAATAGAAATGCCATATGCAGCCTTTTCATATCCACCCTTTTTTCATGGAACAATTTCAGTCCCCAAATCGTCGCCACATGTTCAGGACAATTAAGTCATCAATTTTTGGGTATGTTTTAAAATGAAAAATAAAAACCTATTTGGGAGAATCTAATACATTGTAATGTAAGGACTGGAATATAGATTTTGAATGTGTTTGGAACGGATGCTAATTTTTCAAAAAATGACATTACATCGGATCCAGGTTTGTGATTCCTCTAAAATGCCGATTAATTTTTTGTTTGATGGCTGATTTTTCTGATTTTCGGGAAATTGTTGATAAAACGACCCCTGGAATCAGGTCCAAAGGAGGGATCATCATTTTTTTTTTTTTTTTTTTTTTTTTGTGATTCCTCATTTCCTTGATTCCTGGCAGATTCCTTTTTCTCAGGGATGACATGGCATCCTATGTGTAATGTGGAGACAATGATCCGGTGCTTTACAAATCACCGGATATGTTACTTTATGCTAAGACATGTTGATTCTTTTTTCCTGTGATATCTTATGCAAATTTTGCAACCATTTCTGAGAAATTCTTGCAATCTAATGTTATACTTTAGATTCTTTGTCAAGGATGTATCATTCAGGCCACAGATGGCATCTAAAACATGTGAGTACTATACACTGACATTGGCCTCATGGCAGTAAGGATACCAAACAACAATTAAAGAAATCACTGATTTTTCTGAAAATTCGGTGAAGAGGGATCGCCATCAGTTCCAAACACCACCTTAGGGTTGGTATACAAATTACTTAATGGGAATTCGGTTAAAAGAAAAACAGTTCCTAATGATTTGGTATACAATAAAATTAGGGTGTCTAATGCCCGTCTAGCTCAGTCGGTAGAGCGCAAGGCTCTTAACCTTGTGGTCGTGGGTTCGAACCCCATGGTGGGCGTTTAGCATTAATTTTTATCAGAAACATCTTCTAATCCAATCAAAACAGCTTTTGCATTTTTTTGTTCTTTTACAGTATTGCCACTGAGTTGTAGCAATCACAGGACTCATATCCATTATAGTTTGTAAGATAGATGTTCTCACCTATTTTAAAATATATATTTGTACTCCTTCTAAATGATGCCTTATGAATAAAAATACATACAAAATATAAGATTTTGCATTTTTATATATTTATATTTATACTTTTTTCAAATTGAGCTTTAATATTATCTGGAGTTCATTGTATAAGTAGTATAAAATAATTTGAAAATAATTAAAAAATAATGGGCTCAAGTACAACAAGTCCTCTATTTGGAATGTGGATGTAATTGCCTTTCTAGGAGTTTTTTAACTTTTAAAAGGCTTCCTCCATAGATGGTAGGCCACCTATCTTTAAAATAAGATAGTTTTGATAAGGTATATATATTTAATGGTTTGTGGGTTATTTCATCTGGTTTTGGAGGAACAGTTTGAGTTTAACAATCAATTCTCTCCGAATTTCTCTAAACCCCTTGTTGGTTTAGTTGTTGGGACGCCTTGTTCGGGAGTTTTTTGTCAAGTTTATTATCTCTGTTGGAGG